TGCCGGAAAAAGCTCAAAAACGTCCAGAATCCTGCTAAAAGCCGAAAAATTTTCCTTACAAAAGTGAAGCAGCCGGAGTTGAGATTTTTGTTGAGCGAATTGGAGTTGAAAAATCTTGAGCGGAGTTAGAGTGAGTTTGTACAACACTATATACGACATATACACTTTATTTCGTCATTTTTCAGGCAAGTAGCGATTTTTCTCTCGGATGGAGGAGCCGATACACCGTTCATCAAGAATAATCCTTCGATTATTGTGATTCAAATTGTCGAGAATGGTTTGGCACATAGAGATAAACAATTAAAGTATGTTTTGTGTTCGGACATTGCTCTTGCTTATTTTGATATTTTTACAAGATTATATGACGTCATACTACGTGTGAATGATAATGATTTTACGAATATTAAACATCAGACAGCTATTGATACGCTGAAAACTAGTGGAAATAAAGTGCGACTGGTAAGCATAAGGACCTTTCGTGTGTAACGAATACATTCTTCCTTTTTTTTGTATCAGCTAATTCATCGTCTTTCACCACCGTTTAGTGAAGAAATTGAACTCGAACAGTTCGAAAAATTAGGAATTTCAATTGCAGGAGGAATAGGAAATGGATATTTCACACGGTAGTTAGCTTATCTATTATCTGATCATGCACATCGAACCTGTTCTGTGTTCTTCTCTAGCGATCATGGAATATTCGTTACGGACATAGTTAAAGGAGGCACTGCAGATAAAAATGGACTTTTGAATATCGGAGATCGGTTATTGCAAATTTCACAGAGGTGAGCGAGCTCGTTCTTGTTTCACAATCTGTCTAACTTACTACTTTCATTTCGGTTAAAAAATAGAAGAGCACCTATGATTTGCGTTTTGTTACACATCAAGATGCAAAAAATAGGATACAGTTGGCTTGTGCCGAAAGTAATAAGATTAAACTGTCTGTTGGCCATTTGAGGACTTTAAGAAGACATGCAAGCAATAATAGCAAATCACAGAATGGTGTTCCAAAGTAAGTTGAAGCAACCAATTACGATAGTGTTCCAAAAGCCAACTTTCGTTTCTGTTAATTGAAAAACTCGTATTACAATTCTCCAAATAGTAGCAGCTACGAGTGCATACACCGTCAACAGGGCTGGGCAACTCTGCTGACTTTCAACTCCAAATTTCCAACTCTCACTCCAACTCCGCTCAAGATTTTTCAACTCCAATTCGCTCAACAAAAATCTCAACTCCGGCTGCTTCACTTTTGTAAGGAAAATTTTTCGGCTTTTAGCAGGATTCTGGACGTTTTTGAGCTTTTTCCGGCA